AATCACATTTTATCAGCTTATTTCTATATCTAATTTTCTATATCACCAGAAATTAAGTAAATGTCACTTGCCTACCGGAAATCGAAATTATACGGTATAATACGCATTGCTGTACTTATAAGAGCCTACACGTGTAACACCGCAAAACGTCCGTACCGCAAAACGTACGTATATGGACATTTGCGGCGCATATCGTCCACATTTTTCTGACGTACATTATGCGGCAAAAATGCATGGTCCTCCCGCATAACGTCCATATTTTAAAGTTTATATAATTTTTCATTAATTTTGACCAGTTTTTATCAGATGTTATTGTGTGTTAATTTTAGCTCACCTGAGTATGCGCCTGTCTGTCTGTCTGTCCGTCCAAATTTAGCTTGTTACCACTCTAGCATCAACATACCCTAAGAAATATGTCCAGAGTTATCTGCCCTCGAACTACAATATCTGTTATAGTTCACATTGTTACCGCTCCAACGCTTTCATTTCTTCATAAAAATTCTTCTTCAATCTTGACAATTTTTAACAGAATATCTATGACCATAAAATCCTAACAAAGTTAGATAATAGGCTAAATCCAACACAAAACAAGAGGGCCATGATGGCCTTGGATCGCTCACCTGACACAACCGCATCCAAGCAATGTCTTAAACAAGCATCATGGCCAAGTTTGATGACAACTGAGTCAAACATGTGACCTCAAGTGCGTTATAAAGATTTTTCCATAATTTGGGCAATTAACCTATTTTTGACCGGACACGACCCATATTCAAACTTGACCTAGAAATCATCAAAACAACCTTCCTGATAAATTTCCAGGTAATTTGGATAAAAACTGCAGCCACTAGAGTGTTAAAAAGATTTTCTATTTTTAGCTCCTGTGACTTAGTTTTTGACCGGATTTGACCAATCTTTCAACTTAACCCAGAAATCATCAAAACAACCTTCCTGACAAATTTCCAGAATATTTGAATCAATACTGCAGCCACTAGAGTGTTTAAAAGCTTTTTCTATTTTTAGCTCCTGTGACCTAGTTTTTGACTGGAAATAACCCATCTTGGAACTTGACCTAGAAATCATCAAAACAACCTTCCTGACAAATTTCCAGAATATTTGAATCAATACTGCAGCCACTAGAGTGTTTACAAGCTTTTTCTATTTTTAGCTCCTGTGACCTAGATTTTGACCGGAGATAACCCATCTTCGAACTTGACCTAGAAATCATTAAAACAACTTTTCTGACAAATTTCCAGAATATTTGGATGAAAACTGCAGCCCCTAATGTGTTAGCAAAGCTTTTCTATTTTTTGCTCCTGTTACCTAGTTTTTGACCGGAGATGACCCATCTTCAAGCTTGACTTAGAAATCATCAAAACAACCTTCTTGATAAAATTTCCAGAATATTTAGATGAAAACTGCAGCCACAAGAGTGTTAACAAGCTTTTTCTATTTTTAGCTCCTGTGACCTAGTTTTTGACCGGAGATGACCCATCTTCGAACTTGACCTAGATATCATCAGAACAACCTTCCTGACAAATTTCCAGAATATTTGGATGAAAACTGCAGTAACTAGAGTGTTAACAAGCTTTTCTATTTTTAGCTCCTGTGACCTAGTTTTTGACCTGAGCTGACCCATCGTCGAACTTAACTTAGATATCATCTAAACAACCTTCCTGACAAATTTCTAGAATATTTGGATCAAAACTGCAGCCACTAGTGTTTACAAGCTTTTTTTAGCTCCTGTGACCTAGTTTTTGACCGGAGATGACCCATCTTCGAACTTGACCTAGATATCATCGAAACAACCTTTCTGACAAATTTCCAGAATATCTGGATGAAAACTGCAGCCACTAGAGTGTTTACATGCTTTTTTTAATTTATAGCTCCTGTGACCTAGTTTTTGACCGGACATGACCAATCTTCAAACTTGATCTAGATATCATCAAAACAACCTTCCTGACAAATTTCCAGAATATTTGGATGAAAACTGCAGCCTCTAGAGTGTTAACAAGCTTTTTCTATTTTTAGCTCCTGTGACCTTGTTTTTGACCGGAGATGACCCATCTTCGAACCTGACCTAGAAATCATCAAAAAACTTTTCTGACAAATTTCCAGAATATTTGAATCAAAACTGCAGCCACTAGAGTGTTAACAAGCTTTTTCTATTTTTAGCTCCTGTGACCTAGTTTTTGACCTGAGATGACCCATCATCGAACTAAATTTGATATGATCTAAACAACCTTCCTGACAAATTTCCAGAATAGTTGGATCAAAACTGCAGCCACTAGTGTTTACAAGCTTTTTTTTAGCTCCTGTGACCTAGTTTTTGACCGGAGATGACCCATCTTCGAACTTGACCTAGATATCATCGAAACAACCTTCCTGACAAATTTCCAGAATATTTTGATGAAAACTGCAGCCTCTAGAGTGTTAACAAGCTTTTTCTATTTTAGCTCCTGTGACCTAGTTTTGACCCGAGATAACCCATCTTCGGACTCGATCTGTATTTCATTGATACAAACATTCTGACAAAGTTTGATGGTGATCCAATTAAAACTGTGACTGCTAGACTGTTAACAACCCAATTGTTAGAGTGTTAACAAGCTTTTTCTATTTTTAGCTCCTGTGACCTAGTTTTTGATCGGAGATGACCCATCTTCGAACTTGACCTAGATATCATTAAAACAACCTTCCTGACAAATTTCTAGAATATTTGGATGCAAACTGCAGCCTCTAGAGTGTTAACAAGCTTTTTCTATTTTTAGCTCCTGTGACCTAGTTTTTGACCCGAGATAACCCATCTTCGGACTCGATCTGTATTTTATTGAGACAAACATTCTGACAAAGTTTGATGATGATCCAATCAAAACTGTGACTGCTAGACTGTTAACAACCCAATTGTTTACGACGAACGACGCACAACGCACGACGACGGACGCCGGACATAGCCCCATCACTATACCTCACCTTGACCACTTCGTGGTCAGGTGAGCTAAAAACACAACAAAAACGCACTATATTTCACCTTGTTAGTGCTTTCGTTTCTTCTCCATTCTTAATTTTTTTTAAACAGAATATGTATAACAATAAGGTCCCGATCTAGTTCATTTATGAGCTAAAACGACTGATTATGTCAAGATCTTTTTGCCTTTGAATAATAAAAATAAAGACATATTTTAGAGTCAAATTATTGAATTGTGATAAAACTGCCATTTCTTTGTTTTTAATGATCAGATGTTATTCATTCATTTATGACAGGACGGACATCTTGAATAGTTCAACTATAATATTGACCGTGAAATGACCTTGACCTCAAGGTCACTATTGAATTTTGCTTAAATTACCATATCTTTGGCATTCACGGATATTTGGATTTTGATGACCAATACAGACGTAGAATTGAGTACTGATATCAGTTACCCAGATTCTGACCAAGTACATGAAATGTACTTGCTTTTTATTTGTAATATTCAATGCTATCTACCCTTGTCATTTGGTGCCTTTATAGGCAGTTGGCGATATAAGGTCACCGTGACCTTTTTGCTTTGTTCAATTATAAAATTGCATAGTTCAATGATAGAATTACTTTATGGCATTCAAACAAAACGCTGACATTACGATATTTTAAAATATGCTTTAGTCTTTATCAATAGAACACATTGAACTTCTCTTTCATCATTTCCTATGCGGAAGAATGTTTGTTATAATATACTCTATTACACATTATCTATGTAACTTATAGGCAAAATGTTTTGTTCTTCAGGCGATAAAATAATACGGTTTTAGTAAAGGGACGGACTTTCCGACTAACATTTAGATCATTTTTCAAAGTTATATTTAACTTGCATTTACTAGATTTGTAGTTCAAAATATTTTAGCCGCGTCAAGCAGAAATGCACACGATCGTCATTTTTTTTCCACACATTGATGATGTTCAAAAATTACAATCTCATCTCAAATCTATTTGAAAAACATTCTCGGCTTAAGCATATTTCTTCTTTTTAAATAAAAAAAGTCAGAATTATATACTATATAGGATCACAATAATATTGCACTTTAATGTTTATTTCGTCATATCTTTACCTGAAACAATATGAAAGTGACAGAACCAATAAAAGTAACGTTTATAATGAATATATTTCAATACAGAAAATATGGACGATATGCGCCGCAAAGACACACTCTCGCCGCAAAATGTACCAAGTACGATATGCACCGCAAAACGTCCACATGTGTACGATATGCGACGCAAAACGTCCACACGAGTACGTTTTGCGGTACGGACGTTTTGTGGTGTTACAGAGCCGTCAAAAAGCGAAATTATCGCTCAAAACGGTGGTCAAGCGATCATTTTTACGAATGATCTTGAAAAGTATTTCGTGGAAATAATCTTGATAAGGGATAAAGAGTAATGTTTTCGCAGCCGTATGCGGCTATTCCTTTTTCCAGTTCGATTAAATAAAATATATATTGGCCAGTTTTCTTACCGCGTTGGAAATCCTGCCAGGTATCCGCCATAAATTGCACAATTTTGCGTTACTTATTGCACGAATCGTGCGTTATTTTCACATTGCGGCGTTACTGGATATACACGGTGTTATATACAAGCGACAGCCACAGGGACGCTGATCATTTCCGGTACACTAGTCTAGTTTAATCAGGATGATAACGCTTTATCAGAAAGTCGTGCTTGCTTTATAGGCGGGGCTTAGTATGCTTAATGTTCTGTCCCATGATTCGAATTATCGAATAAATATTTTTCAGTAGATCTATACAAAATATTTTTTTAATTAAACAATATATTTTTTTCAAATTTAGAACATACATAAAGAAACTTATCGCACACAAATATGTTTTATGATGAACAAATATTCAGCAGGATTGAATAAATATTATGGTATAGCATATTAAATTTACAATGTATACAATATTGAACAAAAATTTAATTTATTGAATATTGCAACGTTTAACATGCCATATCTATATATTACTGCGCGCTGTACAATTGCAGTTGATTTGCAAACAAAGGTATTCGTAACCATTTTCTTTGATAATGAAATTAAATCAAAAGGTTACTTTTGCGCTTTTCGTGAAAGAATGAGATGGTTTATATTTCCACTCAACATGATAAAATGCCACATATTTTTAATCGCCGTCCCAGCTCTTGAAAATATGTTGCATTTTATCATGTTTCGTGAAATTATATTCCATATTTCACTCAAACGAAAAAATATCTTCTTAATATTTTCGAAACAAATTTTCCACAGCTGCAAAAAAGACGACCTCTCGCATGCTTCTTTTTAAACAAGCAAACCTGTATCCCTTGTTTTCATAAACAAAGACATTAGAAAAAAGTTACGTATAAGTGAAGATATTGCAACAAAATAATGGATTACCTCTTTTCTTTCAAATCTGAACTTTTTAACTGTTCCATTTTCCATCATGTGAATATACTTAATATGCGGAACGTGATGATTTCTTTTTAGATGTTGAAAATGTTCATGCAATTCATCTGTTGACACGTCAACATCTAATTGGTCAGGAAACTGGTCGATATACCTTCTCTGTCTTTTATCTGTATCTACGACCTTCACCTTAACTGAAAATTAGTACTAAAAGCCTAGAACGTGCATGCACTCTAATGGCACAATGGGCACATTTTCCATAAGTATTTCTTACAAATATTAATAAAAACAATAAATGTATCATTTGATTAAATATATAGAGGATATTTGTTTGCTTTTCATGAAAGATTGAAATATAATTTCACTGACTGACTGAGTGAACCCCATGTTTCTAAAGCATGAAGGTCATCTTGGAGGGTTTGGGCATCCTGTTTAGATCTGATGGTTAGGTAGACAACAGTATCATCTGCAAAGGGTCTAACCTTACCTTTGAAACTATCTGGGAGGTCATTTATGCAAGAAAGGAAAAGGCAGGGACCTAATACCGAGCCTTGGGGTACGCCTGAGAGGACTGGTAGTATAACTGATTTTTGACCTTCAACTACTACTTGCTGGGAGCGTGACTTAAGGAAGGAATGGACCCAATTTGTAACCTCATAGCTTATACCCAATCTTTCTTGTTTACTCACAAGTTTGTGATGGTCCACCTTATCAAAGTTTCAAGTTAATACATGTTGTCGTTTTAAAGTTATGTCCCGGAAAAAGTTTGAAGTGTAAAAATATCCTGCAATATCTCCAAAATTAGGCAAGGCAGTGTTACGGTTCTTTTTGGACTCTTTTTACTCAATAAGATCTATCTACCTACACAATTTGAAATTGATATATCTTGTAGTTTTAGAGCTATATTCCGGACAAGAAATCTGCAACGGGCCGACCGACCGACTGACCACCAGCTGACTCCAGTATACCCTCTTTAACTTCGTTTGTCTGAGGTAAAATGAAATAATATTTATAAGTAACTATTTGTAGAAAAAAAACCCACCTGTTGCTGGCATCTCTACATGTCCTTGTGAATAGGGAATGGTTTTGGCAATGCACGACTGACGATTAAAGCTTATAACAAAAGCCATTGCAAGGAAGATGTGATTTATTAACGAAGTCTTCATTTCTCCAGCGGATCATTTATAGCAAGTTTATCTTCTTTGTCAATTTAGATTCTGAAAAAGAGTTATAAGCTGTTTTTATTGCTGTATATAGAGGATATTTGTTTGTTTTGCATGTAAGATTGAAATATAACTTCACTGAGTGAACACCAGATGCAATATTTTCACGAGTGGCGTAGCCACGAGTGAAAATATAATAGCTGGTGTTCACGAATGAAATATATATCAATCTTATTTGTAAAACAAATAAATTTTCTTTTTTTTTTCATGCTTTTTAGGTGATTTTAAGTATTTTTTTACTGATTTTGCCGCGTAACGTCGCGCATTCTCCTTTTTGACGTCATTATATCATGACGTCACATCATAGGTTTTGAAATATAGTTCTGTTAAATTTCTCTAATTTTGGTAGATTTTTAACATGATGTATGATGACATAGACTTTCTTTTCCTAAATAAGCATTTTGCATATCTACGTATGACGGCATTCATGTCTGCCTGTTATTCCATTTGGTTATGATTTTCTTTTCATTCGCATTCAGATATAGTCCGGCTACAGTGAAAATTATATTTTATAAATTTCACTAGTGGTTTATCAGAATATAATCATCTGATATATTGTAATAAAACACTGGAAAGCATGAAATAAATTGAATATTGTACATTGTACGTAGGACAGCCAATGTTAGTATTTTATACGATTGATTATTTTCTTCATTAGTTTTATCATGGAGCTAAATATAAGATTAAAAGAAAAAAATCCTTAATAAACCCTGTATGATATACAAATAATTAAAAAATAGTGATAATAAATTGACCCACTATACCTGTAAAAACATAGGTACCTTGTTTTTCTGGTATATAAGGTCAATTTATTAATTTTTTTTATAATTATTTCTTTATCCTAAATAGTTGATCTAGAAAGGTCTTTTTAAAAAAAATCATTTTTAAAGGGATGGGATAATAGCAAAACTGGGCAAGCCTTTCCTTTTGAAAAAGGAAACTTTATTATAAAATATAACTAAAAAAGTCACATCGTAGTTTACAATAAACATGGTCACTCAGGCGCTTGCAATATATTATGTAGGCATGCACATTAGTTTAAAAATATAAATAGACTTCAGTGTTCGAAATTAGCAGTAGTCCGATAGCCCCTGACTACTAAATTTCTCCTCGGGCTACCAACTTTTCATAGTAACAAGCCCGACCAGGCTACTGTATTTTCAGAGGCAATATAAACAACTGTTTTGAACAAATGAATCGTGCTAGTGAAATGTCTTTTGGGCTAGTGAATATTCCAATCTGGTAGTCCGACCAGCCTAGTTGATTCAAATCCTAATACTTACACTGAGACTTCCTTGAGTTCAAAGAAGGTATGCATGCACAGTTAGTATACAAGAAAAATTATAGATAAATTTTTAAGTTATATAAATGTACGTAACGGTAATATAAACATTCTACGATCCGTTCTATAAAAGGTGTCGACATCGTAAATTAATATAATAAAGCACGCTGTCAAAAGGCAAATACCCCACTATGTAAAGCCGAGAAAGTTTTATATTATTTATAATAAATGTGATTCATTAAAAAAATGTTCAGACACTATCCCCAAAAGTATTCCAAGCCCCATTTTCTAAATCATGGATACCCCCGAAGAATAACCCCCTTCCCGGGAAAACTTCCCTTAGAATGGTATCATAAAATATGGAAATAGTTTTGCTCTCTCTATATATAATCTGGTTATCTGGCCCCACCAGATTATATATATGATAATGGAAACGATTTTTTTCGTATGTTAATATTTATGCTACTGAAAAGGGAAGATTTCCCAGACAGTAAGAGGGTTTCATCGGGGGTGGGGGGGGGGACTTTATATTCTATAAAATGTTGTTTGGCATTGTTTTGTGGGAAGTGTCTGAAAATACTTTCTTACGGAATGAATAATATTTAATACAAGAAGACAACTTCCCCGAGACGTTTGCGTATGCTTGTTAAACTGTGTAGACAATTCTCCCGGACATTTGCCTTTTGAACTCTTACTTTGTTATATAAATTTCACGTATCACACAATCATTTTTAATAAGCTTCAGTTATCGTCCTGGTAATTTAATGTTAATAGTACAATATCAATATCATTTAAATCAGTGATTAAAAAGTTATTTTTATTCACATAATCTACTGTATTCCTTTTGTGGCCTACAAAAATGAAGAAGAAAAAACAAACCATCAAACGAAAATCACGCGCTTCCCTACTTTCATATTCACGTAGAATATTCATATCATTTCTTTGAATGCCAATAGTGTAAAATATCTCTCTCTTATGAAATAACTTTGAAATCATTTCAAGGAAAAAAAAATATATTTAGATATTTCACTTAACAGTAGGGCGGTTCCAAGTCAGGATTATAAAATATCTACAACGAATTTGTAAAATATACAGTAGAGAGTGTAGAGTAGAGAGAAATACAGTAAAGAACATTGTAACATTAAAAAAATTAACTATTTTTAAACTTTAACAAATTTTAAACTTTTACTTTAATAATAAGCAAATAAATGTAGAACTATAAACAGAATAAATATTTCTTCATGTACCTTTAATTCTGTCAATTTCTTTTATCTCAATGTTTCAACTATCTTTATTTGTTATATTTTCTTTTATCTTTTCGTTACTTTATTAAAATTCGTTCTATTTGTTTACATGACGTCAAAATGAAAGTAGGGTTTTCCCGTAAAAACTGGGTTAATAGTGACGTCACGATATATTGATAGTTAAAAAAAATGGCGGGATATTCTGTGCCTGGTATGAATTAACAAAACGAGGTTGAATATAACATAAACCGTTTTTGTAGATTAAAAAAAAAGTTCCCCTCGAGAAATTTTTCTAAGATTTTTCCTCTTAAGTTTCTACTTTTCTTCTAAAAGCAAAGTTTGATTTCTCTACGACAAATCTTTGTTGTTTATTTTTCGACGCCATTCATATAAATTAAAGATGAACAAGAGAAAGCACGTGTCATGTTTTTAAAATGTACTAGAGGTTCTCGGGGTCGTTTCATGTATATATTACAAAGCTGGATCTACAAGATGTAATAGTTTAGTTGCGACAAACTCTATATGATGCAAAACTTCAAAAACGTGAATAATAAGCAACAAAAACATCAAGTCACATGGAGTAGAAATTGCACTTACTTTTTTGTTTTAAGCGGAATAGAATCCCGTTGAATTTCGAAACAGATCTTTCTACGACAAATTCACATGCATTCGGAAGATTCCTTCATTATCAGTCTCCAAATAGTTCCGTAAATCCTATTTCTGACTTTTAAAACTTCTGAATGGCAATCATGATGACTCCTAATCTTAGAAACTTTAATCCAGATGAAACATTTCTCCATATGCGAAATGATATCTGTATAAGCAAATGAAATATGTTAATGAAACACATCATAATTCAGTATTCAAATTCATAATTCAAGAACTGCCCATCAGTTTCTGTTCTAAAAATCACAATGTTTATTCTCGGAAATGGATTAATGACGAAAACAATTTTGTTAACATATGACGTAACAAAAATGTATCACGCTTTTTATAGATAATTCAGCTTTCGGAATTGTACGGTCGGTGGCATAAAAGTGACATTTGCAATTTTTTTGTTTTTGTTTTTCACTTGATTTATTTTTTATATATATTTTAGCGTCTTTGTTTTAGCGTTTTACTGTTTCATTTTCCGAAAGGTAGTAACAGTGAACATTACTCAGTGTACTCAGTATACGATCTAGCTACAATATCACCATGCACTATTGGATCTGTACTGCAGTAAAGATCTATATGACCGAGTAAACCATGTACCGAAATTTTGAAGCTCCTAGATCTATATAATTTTTAACCGGTATGACTTGATCTAAATTTCGCAATGGGACATTTTTTTTCAAGTCTGATTTTCTTGAAATATTGTGTTGGAGGCATGCAGCTACGGTGGCACAGATGTCACATGTGTTTGTTTTTTATTTATCTCGTGCGCGAAAGAAACTATGTCATGGCCACGAGTTACTAAGTCGTGGCCACGAGATAATTCAGTGGCGCGCACGAGATACTATATAATATATATGTCGTGGTCACAAGTTACTAAGTCGTGGCTACGAGATAATTAAGTGGTGTGCACGAGAAACTATTTCGTGGCCACGAGATACTATGTCGTGGAAACGAGTTACTTAGTCGTGGCAATGAGATAATTCAGTTCTGCGCACGAGATAGTATGTCGTGGCCAAGAGTTACTTAGTCGTTGGAACGAGCTAATTAAGTCGTGCGCACGAGATAATTGACCAATCACATTAAACTATTTGTATGAATTTTCCTAGTGTCCTAGACATGTGCTAGAACAATGATGCCCCATTTGCACCTCTGCCTGTCAATGTGCCATTAATAACAGTTATTAATTGGACAATGTTTTTACTTTTATCGTTATTGTGACCCCGATCTTTGAACAAATGACCTCAAAAATAATGAGGTGTCGTCTACTGAAATCTTTCTAGGCTATATAAACCATTGCTTTTTCCTTCAAAATAATTCATCAGACAAGGATTTTACATGAAGTGTCATTAACCTCAAACATCCTTAAAGGCTATTTACTGGCCATGGGCAATGTCCCTGCCAAATAAATTAAACCAGAAAGGGCTTTAACTTTGTCAAAATTAATATCTGATTTATGGGCATTGGAAGGTGACTTTCTAATATAATCATAAAGACATGTATCAAGTTTAAAGTGAATATATATCTTCAGTTATTTCAAAGATGAATGTTGCATGTTAAACTTTAAACAGGAATTTAAAGTTAAAGTTAAAAAAATCATATATATAGTATAATCTGATTGGTTTATTATCTTGTGCACGTGCACGACTTAGTTATCTCGTTCCCGCTACTGTGTAACTTGTGGCCACGACATAGTATCTCGTGCGCATCCCTTTATTATCTCGTGGTCACGACTTAGTAACTCGTGGCCGCGACAGAGTATCTTGTGGCCACGACATAGTATCTTGTGCGCACCACTTAATTACTTCGTGGCCACGACATAGTATGTTCCGGCGCTAGAGATAAATAAAAACACGCATATGTCACATCTGTGCCACCGTATGCAGCTGTCTATACTTAGGAAATAGATACCAATTCTGAGTACCATGTTTAACAAATAAAACATGGCTTTTCGGGCGAAATTCAAGTTTACGGGCTGGTTGGTCAGAATGAGAAATGTATATGCGCTGTAACACCGTAAAACGTCCGTACTGTCAAACGTACGCGTGTGGACGTTTCGCGGCGCATATCGTACACATGTGGACGCTTTGCGGTGCATATCGTACTTGGTACGTTTTGCGGCGAGAGTGTGCCTTTGCGCCGCATATCGTTCATTTTTTCTGTATTAAAAAATATTCAGTATAAACGTTACTTTTATTGGTTCTGTCACTTTGTTTCAGGTCAAAATATGAAGAAATAAACATTCAAGTGCCATATTTTTGTGATCCTATATAATTCTGACTTTTTTTTTATTTAAAAAAAAGAAATATGCTTTAACCGAGGATGTTTTTCGTATAGATTTCTTTTGTGAAATGAAACCAAACAGCAGCAGCAGAGATATAAAAACGATGATATTGAAATAAATGTAATCTTATAGACATACAGAAAAGGACGGCTATACGGACGGACGAACCGGAAATTGGACTAAGTGCATGACAAAAATATTAAAATTAAGCTTTGCCTTGGACAAAAGCTTTTCATATAATTGCATCAAGAAGTGAGAATGATTTTTTGTGTTCTTGTTGACTATGGAGGTTTGGTTCTATCGTTCATTTTTACGGGGGATGAATGAGGGCTTTTGACAGTGTAGTCATATTTGAGCGAGAGAGCTATATTGTCATGGAGATGGGACTTTAAGTCGCCTAGTCATAATTGAGCAAGAGAGCTTTTGTCGCGGGGGGCGGAAGTAGGGATGAGGTTGCTTTTAGCCGCCTAGTCATATTTGAGAGAGGGAGAGAGAGCTTTTGTTGAGGGAGGGAGATTTTAGCCGCCTTGTCATATCTGAGTGAGCGAGCTATTGTTGTGATGGGGGAGGGGCTTTAGCCGCCTAGTCATATTTGAGCAAGAGTGCAAATCGTTTTGTTTGAATGCCATAATGTAATTTTATAATTGAACAATGTAATTTTATATTTGAACAAAGCAAAAAGGTCATGGTGGCTTTATGTCGCCCACCTGCCTATAAAGGCTCCACGTGACAAGGGTAGATAACGTTGAATTTTACAAATTAAAAGCAAGTACATTTCGTGTACTTGGTCAGAATCTGGGTAACTGATATCAGTACCCAATTCTACGTCTGAAATGGTCATCAATATCCAAATATCTGTAAATGACAAAGATGTGTTAATTTAAGCAAAATTCAATAGTGACCTTGAGGTCAAGGTCATTTCAATGTCAATATTATAGTTGAACTATTCAAGATGTCCGTCTTGTCATATTGTGTGAATGACATCTGATCATTGATAACAAAGAAATGGCAGTTTTATCACAATTCAATAATTTGACTTTAAAATATGTCTTTATTTTTTTTATTCAAAGGCAAAAAGATCTTGACATAATCAGTCGTTTTAGATCATAAATAAACTTGATCGAGACTTATTGTTATTCATATTTTGTATAAAAAAAATAAGAATGGAGAAGAAACGAAAGCACTAACAATAATAATACTGAATACCACTTAGTTTTGAGTATTGATTTTGAATTAATTTCGTCCCATAAATATAATTAAGTGCATCATTAACACAAACTGACAGTATTTTTAGAAGAAATAAATGCTGAAAAGTGTTAGAGATGATCCCATAAAATTTATGTCAGAAGTTGAATTTATCAGAAATTTAAATTTCCAAAGGGGTGTGTACATTTTATATCCGGAATGATACAAGTAGTATGAACTATTAAGAGTGTATTCGGCTCGCGGGAAACCAGTACTTATGCCAAAAAGAAACGAATTTATACGATTTCAAGTTGGAAATTTCTTGACTTTCATTGTTTGTGTCCTGTGTTTGTCAATGTGACTGTCTATGATTCAGGACTCAAGTCCTCGGATGATTTATTGTATGCGTCTAAATATAGGCCTATGTAAATATTTATGTTTCCAACAAATGCCATTTAGTTATAAGTATTTATTGTCTCGTTTATGAAACATTAAAAACAATAGTTAGATACAAGTCATACCACACTGTTTGAATTTTGGCCAATCCATATTTTTAAAGATATTTTAAAGGAAACATGACAGAAAGAAATTTCATGGCGTCATGAATAACCACGGCATAAAGTTAACGTTGATGACGTCAGTACCTTAATTAAAAAAGAAAATCAAAATCCAAGTAGCAAAACAATATCTTTAACATTTGTTTAGCATATATATCATATAGGAGTTACTCATCATGTTTTCTAAGGTGTATCAAATCAGCAATGTTTTCTTGGTTGACTCATCTTCAAATCATGAAATTCTGCAGAAAATAAACTGAAAATAATTGTTAATTAATTGCAAATAATTGAAACTTTTGGTGTCTCTGTAGAGATGTGCAAGACTGACAGGTGAGAAAGATGGTGTGAGGCTAGCCTTTTATATGTCCACCATGAAAAACATGCAACGTTTGAGCCACTGAAATTTGCTTTCTTCGTATTCGTGGTCCCATTTCGATGACA